CCATACGCCCGCCACACCCCCGCCCCGCGGCGCTACCCACAGCTCGCGTGACTGCATACGGCGGTGCATCTTAAATTTTTCAGGAAAGTAAGTGCATGGCGGCTCATAAACGGCGAGAAAAGTACTTTTCGCTTCCGGATCGGACCCCAACGTCAGTCATAGCTCGCCAAAGCCGCTTCTCTTTTGTGTGCGGGTGCGGGGTGCACGCCCCTCGGCTACAAGTAATGCATCAAGTTCATGAACTTGAGCCCGCCACAACCGTCGTCGGTTGAATGTGGAGCGCCTTGCGAGAAATGTCACCCAAAATGAAACTCTAGTGGTTAGTCATAGAGGCTACAGGCGCAGGGATTAGTGAGTGTTCGAAGCGCCGCACCTGTCCGTCGAGGTGAAGGGTTATGGTTAGTTCAGCCACCCGGGCCAGTCCAAAGCAAAGTGCTACTCACCCGTGCTGCTGGGGGTCTGGGGCCGCTTCCGTCCGGAGGACGACGACGGCGGCAGCGGGACGCTCAGCGACTCGGGGCGGTGGGCGCCGTCGAGCACGCCGTCGTGCGGCGAGGAGGCGCCGACGATGACGCCGCCCCCGCTGCTGCTGCCGGGGCCGCCGCCGCCGTTGGCGGAGCCCGGGGAGGCGGACGCCGACTCGCACGACAGCGGCGCGAGGGACTCCGGGGGCGCGGGCGTGCCCCTGTGCACGTCAAGGTCGGCTGGCGACAGGCGGGGCGCGAGAGGCGCGTACAGGTTGGGCTGGCGCTGCTCGTCCTGGGCCTGGGCGCGCCGGAGCGCCGTCTGCAGCGCCATCACGCGCCGGCGCTCCGCCGTCAGCTGACACTTGTCGCAGTCACAGTAGCGGTACTTGCAGTAGCGCTTGTGGCCCTTGAGTCCGATCTTGAGGCGGTGGTTGCGGCAGAGTGCGCAGTTGGGGGGCGTCCTGGCGTTGCCCGAGCTGCTCGGGACGTGGCTGCTCGGGGCGCCTCCTCCGCCGCCGCCGCTGCTGCTGCTGGGCGTCGCGGGCGCCAGGACGCTGTGGTCGTGGCCGAACTCCTTGCCCGACGAGGAGGCAGAGGACGACGGCCGGTTGCCGAGGTTGAGGGCCGTCCCCTGCTCCGACATGCTGGCCGACGCCCAGTCCAGCTTGAGGCCGGTGATGTAGTCGGCTGGACTCACCGGGGCGCCCCGGGCGTGGACATCCCACGCGGGCCCCGCCAGGCCGGTGGCCAGGCCCCGGACCGCTCCCGCCACCGCCAGCACGAAGCGTCGTCTGCTTGTTTTCTTAGCGGCGCGTCGTCTGCTAGGACCGCGCCGGTCAAGGTTTGTAGTCACTGATGCACTGTCTCTCCTCTATCCACACTAACACGCGCGCGCGCGCACTGTCACACACACACACACACACACACACACTCACACACTGCTGCACTCTCGTCCCGACTCTCACTGTACCACTGTGTTGCACTTCGCACAGGGGCGTGGCCGCGGAGCAGGTGCTGCTGCACAGGTCCTCCTCGTCGCACTCTCGCACAGTGTCCGTTTGCACACACCCACTCTCTCACACGTCAGGCACGACTGTCACACAACTGCAGCTCGCGCCGGTTGCACGCGCACGCCGGTCCTGGTGCGCCTGTCGGCCCCCGCGCGGTGAGCCGGTCGCGGTGAGCCTGCCTGCGGTAGGCCTGGCTGTGGTGCGCGGCGCGGTGCGCGGTGGGGGCTGAGCGCAGCTAGAGCAGCTCGCGGGCGAGGCCAGGGCCGGGCGAGGCGCGCTCTGCTCTGCGGTGCGGTGGCGCGACGTGCTACGTGCTGCCTCTTGGAGGACTGAGCTGAGACCAGACGCGGCGGGACGGGCCGGCCGGCCGGGCTGGGAGAGGGAGAGCGTTGCGCGAGCCGGGCGGCGGGCGGCAGCCGGGCTCGGCGGGCTGCCGACGGCGCCGCGCCACGTCACGTCACGGGCGGCGCGAGCAAGCGGGTACCAAGCGCACCCACACACACACAGGGGCGTCATCGGGGACGTGCAGCAGCCGCCCCGCGGCCGCGCGTGGCCTCGCCCAGACAGGCTGCCCGATACCGATGACGACAAAAATAGACCCAATAAAAGGGCTGTACTTTGCGTCGGCGTTGTGGACAGGCAGTACGGACGGACGGAACTGTCAGAACTGACAGAACATAGAGCAGCCATAGCCATGGTGGGGGCGCACAGCGCCGTCGAAGCGGACTAGCCCGCCATGCAGGAGTGCGGGCGGGTTGCCTATTCGCTAGGCGCTCCTCGTATAGAGCAATAGGTGCCGTGGGTACAAAAACAGAACTGCAAAACTGTCAGGACTCTCAAAACTAAAATAACCGAAAGATCTGTCACAACTGACAGGACTGATAGAAAGTGCATAGACGGACGAAAGACAGAACTAACAGAAAGTGCATAGACGAACGGCTAACAGAACTGATAAAACATAGGGAACTGTAAGAATAGAAATAGACAGAACAGAGAGAACATACACACGGACCGAAAGAAGAGAACAGCAAAACGGACAGGCGGACAGGCGTGTCGGCGGTGGGATTAATTGCAGTCCAGGCCCACACTGAAAAAAAATACATTAGTGCTAAGGACATGCCGGTCACCAAAGCCTGTTGCTGTATCAAGAACATTTTTGTTGCTAACCGTGCGACACTGTCCCTTATTCTACGACAGACTGTTCTTGAGCCAGCTACATTGTCGTTAGGCCAAGGAACGTTGTCGTATGGTTAGCAACATATGCTCTTAGCATACGAGCATATGTTCTTGGAGCCGATCTAAGAGCAAAATGTTCTTGGGGGTGTTACAACTGTCCTTAGCACTAATGTATTTTTTTTTCAGTGCAGAAGAGTTGCAGGAGATTTTATTATTGTCATAGACGAGGCAATCATCCTGCCCGGCTGTCCAGTCGGGCCGGCCAGGCGGCCAACCTGCAGTCGTCTCGGCTCGCAAAACCTGCAGTCGAATAACTTGAGAACCTTGAACTCTTGAACCGAGTGCCGCGGCGGCGCGGCGCCTTCGTCCGCTTTGCGTTTCGCAGAGAGTTTGTCAGGCGACCGCCGCCGTGTCGCGAAGGAGGGAGGGGAGGGGAAGGGGGCTGGGCGGCGCGTGCATCGTGCATGGACTGTGCCACTTGTTCTTTCGCACTACCCCGCCGCGCCCCGACTCGGTTGTTGCGGGTGGGGCCTTTGATAAGGGCTCGTTCAGACCACGTGGCTGACAGTGAGCCTTGCACTCTGTCCCAGAGGTGCACAGCGGGCTCTACCCGGCTCTACCGGACCAGCCGACTTATTTCGAAGAACCCTCTCCTATACCTTCCGTATAGCTCCGTCCTTGTCGCACTCACAGAGCAGCGCCCCTTGCGGTCTCTTCGGAATCAGTCTGCAGTATAGTAAGCGGTCCCCCATTTAGTCGCAAGAACAAAACCTCCTGCTCCGTACGCAATTTACTCCATCTACCCCACCCCTGAGCCTGTAGGGTATTTTCCAATATTTTAGGACTCGAATTTAAAAGAGATAATGAAAACGTCGTATTAAACAAGTAGTAAACTCCCACCAATGCGAAATAATTGAGCCTGCAACTAACCGACGACAAACACGGCGGCAAATGAGTGCCCGCCAAGCAGCAGCGCCGCACACTTTGTACCCACAACTTAGTGGAGGCGCAGTGTTCTCCGCCAGCACACCGCACGGCGCATCACGGCGCAGCACGGTGCAGCAAGGCGCAGCAACAAAAACAAACACACACACACACACACACACACACACACACACACACACACACACACACACACACACACACACACACACAAACAAACTCACTCTCCTGACGGACGACGGGACGTTTGACGCGCGGATGCTCCAAGCAGGCGAGGCGTCAATTTGTCCAATGACACCTCTCCTCTGGCCGCAGAGTCGAGTCGTCGTCGTCCCGTGGTCGTGCGACTGTCCGATTGCCTGCATGTCTGCCAATGCGCCTGTTGATGTGTGTGCATGTGTGTGAGGAGAGGCTGGCTCCTTGTGGTACCTTAAGGAACCTTGTGGCACCCTGCGGCCCCCTCTCTGGGTGGGACCCGCATCACGCCGTCGCCCCGCTGCCCGTGCAGATCCAGTGGCGTGTTATAGCACACAAGGGCGAAGGGGCGCAAAACACACACACACACACACACACACACACACACACACACACCGAGATCTTTCCAGTCGGTCGACTATGTAGCCGTTGGTCGGCCCCGCCGCGCTGCAGGGGGCCGTCCTCATCTCTTGTGCAGCCCCACACCACGTTGGGTGCCGGGGAAAAATATAAAGATAACAAGACGTGCAAACTATCCCGATTATACTAAACACATTTTGCATTAAATTGTGGCACTCTGCTATGCCGGCGGCGCGACGGTGGTGGCTGGCGGCCAGGCTGCCGGCCTGGCAGCGCACACCGACTCCCTCCCCCTCCCCCCACCTCAAGGCTGCTCGCGGACACGCCAAAACTAATCCACAACTTTATTTCCATCGCCAGAGAGTATGACCAGGGCGATGTTGATGTGCTGCCAGGCGGCGGGCGAGGCGGGCGGCCGGTCGCGTCGCGCCGCCACCGGCCGTCCGCTGTACAAATGATAGCGGGCAGCAGGAGGATATGTAGTTAGCGATAAGTAGGGTCGAAAAGGAGGGTCCGGCGAAAAGGAGGGTCGGCGCAAACCGCCGCGTACGCTTGTTTGAGCTCGCTCCTGTCGACATTTCAGGTGTTCATAGTTCATAGCGAACGTGAACGGATGCTTAAGTGTCGAAAAATCGGACAGGAGCGAGCTCAAACAAGCGCACGCGGCGGTTTGCGCCGACCCTCCTTTTCGCCGGACCCTCCTTTTCGACCCTACTTATCGCTAACTACATATCCTCCAGGGCGCGCTGCACTTGGCGCACGCGCTAGAGGCTAGAGTCCTGTGGGACAGCACAGCGCCGCCGCGAGAGCTCTAGAGAAGCGGCTAGAAACGCCGCCCGGCACGGCACGCGACGCGATCTAGCGGCGGCGGCTCCAACTAGGTAGGAGGCGGTGGTGGGCCCCCATCCCGCGCGGGGGCTGCGGCGGGGGAGGAGCGGGGGAGGCCGCGCGTGCACTGTATACCCCTTCTGCCCCCGCGCGCAGCCGCGGCCGACACACAGTGTAGTGCTGCGCCCATGCCGCCGCTCGGCTGAGGAGGAGGACGTCGTGTGTCGCACGTCTGGTCGTCTCTCTCAATGGCGCAGCCGTCTGCTGCTGCGCCGGCTGAGCCGGCTGCGCCCGCGGCTTCGGCAGAGGTGGTAAGTCTCCATGACGGCATATGACACACGGGTGGACGACAACGGCGGCCCTGTGTGAGGGTCGTCCTGAGCGCGCGTTTCGTACGGGCTGCTGCTGCTGCAGCTCGCCGCCGCCGTCGTCCTGTTGTTTGTTGCGCCTCCGGTTTCCCTCATGCTGAAGAGTACCGCGCGGAACCGGTCCGGCGCGGAGTCGCGTCTGCTATTTCGGGAGGTTCAGAGTCAGAGTCAGTCAGTCGCCCGCACGCTCGCTGTCAGGCTCGCGCCGACACGCGGAAGCAGCAGGGCGGTGGGTGAGGACGAGAGGGGAGGTGGAGGAGGACGAGGGCGAGGAAGCAAGGGAGGAGGAGGAGGCTTTCGCGCGACAGAGCCGCGACAGGACAGCGGTGGAGAGGTTAGGTCCGCGCGCCCGCCCGCCCCACCGCGGCGCAGCGTCTGCTAGGTTAGGTGCGGCGGCGGCGGGGGGCTACTACACATATCGATCGCGCGCGGGCGGGGCGGTGGCGCGGCGTGGCGGCGGAAGGGCGGCCGGACAAACAGCCAGAGAGAGAGAGAGAAGGGAGCTCCTTCTCACTGGTGGACTTTGCAAAACAGCAGCAGCAGCAGGAAGGAGCAGCGCAGGCCTACTTTCCCTGCCACCTCCGGATTGTGTGCGAAAGCAGCGCCACGCGCGACATTAGCGGACAGGTTTGAGGCCGGCCCGGCCCGCCGCCGCGGGGGACCAGAGCGGCAGGCCCCGGGCCCGACCTGACGTCAAGGTCATCCGCTCCCCTTCTCCCCTACCCCACCCCGCCCACACCAGCTGATCGGCGCGCGCCCCTACGAACAGCCACAATAATTTATAGTAACCATAGCCCCAAAACGCCAAAATTAGCGAAATAAAAGAATATGCAGAATCATTTTTAATAAGAAATCGATGGAAACACTAAGAAATAAAAAATTTCTTGCTTTGTCTTTGAAAATTTTTGCCCGAGGGGCCTGCTTCACTACTCGGCCGGGCAGCAGCAGAGGCGCCGGGTATGCAACCCAACGCCCTCGCGAGCGCGACGGGCTGGCCCACCGGTCGGGCGTCGCGCCAGCATGCGTCCGGCAGCCTGGCCGGCCAGGCCCCGATCGGCTCGGCGCGGGCCGTCGGATGAGTTGCCTACCCGGCGGGCGCAGCCGGCCGAGGTGGAAGTAGTCGTCGTCGGCGGCGGCGGCGCGCCCGCCCGCCCCGCGTATCTCGCAGCAGGACGTGAGACGCGATAATTAACCCTTTTTATTCGCTCTCTTCGAGCTCTTCGCGCTGATAGCAGCAGCACTCTCCTCCTCATCTGCGCCGCGCGACCACAGCGCTGGCGCAGCAATCACTTCCACTCGAGTGGGATTCTTATTTAATTCAGTTTAATGAAAAGAAACACAGAGGGTGGTGGCCGGGGCGACGGCGAGGTTATGACTCGGGGGGG